CTTGAAATTTCCTCCTCAAAATGAATTAGCCCACCACCCTTAATCTAAGTCTCCTGCGAAGTCTCAGCCATGGACAAAACGTAGGCAAATGCTCTGCCAGCATGTAACACGCAGCGCCTCCAGCCGTGCGCTGACAGAGTCCTCGTTCCCACCAAAGCCTCCCGAGCCTGGCTGTTACCATCTGACTCCAGCAGCACTCCGGTCTTCTGGGCGCTGATCAAAATTACCCTCAGGCTCTGCATACAACTTCCTAGGCCTTCTCCAGCCCACACCTCGGAACCTCTCCAGACTCCTCCAGGAGACCAGGTCCAGAGATTTCCACACCAAGCTGCACAGATGCACAGGGGGAGGAAGGAAGGGAGGGAAGAAAGGCTGAGAGACAGAGATTAACTAGCAAGCCAAGGTCAACATTCAAGAAAAAGAGAAAAATTTTGTTTGTTTGTTTTGACGTAGTTTTCAAATGATCACAGCTACTAATAAGGTTTCCATAAGCAACAATAGCCGGGCGTGGTGGTACACACCTATAATCCCAGCACTCAGGAGGCTGAGGCAGGAGGATTGCTGCGAGTTCTCCTGCCTGTGATACAAAGTGAGTTCAAGCCTGTGATACAAAGTGCAGTTCAGCCTGAACTGCATGGGGAGACCCTGTCTCAAAAGACATAAGCAACAATAACTGCAATACCAAAAAGGTGAAGAAGCTGGACATTGTAGGGCACACCTGTAATCCCAGCACTTAGGAGGCTGAGGCAGGAGGATTGCAGAGTTCAAAGCCAGCCTGAATTACAGAGCAAGACCTTGACTCAAAAAACAAAAGATGAAAAAGAATATTAAGCACTGTAATCCAGTAATTCTAAATCTTGGTACCCATTCCAGAGAAATGCTTGCACGTGTACATAAAGCCCTATGCAAGGATGTGCCCTGAAGCACTGTAAAAAAGAAAAACTGGATGCCATCTATATAAAATATGATCTATTCATATAAAATCCCTACAACAGTTCAAAGGGAACCAAATTTATATGTGACAACCTGGATAAACCTCAAAATTATATTTTTGAATGAAATACCAAGCTGCATAACTATTCTTCCTTGCCAGGCATGGTGGCACATGCCTGTAATCCTAGCACTTGGGAGGCTGAGGCAGGAGGATCATTGAGTTTGAGGCCAGCCTGAGCTACAGAGTGAGCTCAAGGCCAGCCTGAACTGCATAGCAAGACCCTGTCTCAAAAAGACCAAAAAAAAAAACAAAACAAAACTATTCTTCCTGGGCCAGGGATGTAGCTCAGTGGCACAGGGCCTGCTCAGCAAGGATGAGGTTGTGAGTTCGACTCCTGGTACAAAAAAAAAAAAAAAATCCAAAACCTAGTCTTCCTGTATTTTTGTATTAGTACATTTATACATGAAAGTATATACTATACTGTTTAAGTAAGACATTTATGTAATGCAGTCACACTCAAAATATTACGACATATTTTCTGTCGGTAAATGCTTATAAATAAAATTTTAAATGCCCTACAAAAAAAAGATTTCTACACCACATGGTCAGATACAGTCACAGAAACAACCCCGCTTCTCCACAGGTGAAATTTCTGAAGCAGATCTCAGTCACTGAGACTCAGCATCCGACACCCACCATTTAAAAGCACGGCTAAGGCCGGGCGTGGTGGCGCATGCCTATAATCCCAGCACTTGGGAGGCTGAGGCAGGAGGATCATTGTGAGTTCGAGACCAGCCTGAGCTACAAAGTGAGCTCAAGGCCAGTCTGAACTCCATATTGAGACCCTGTCTCAAAAAAAAAAAAAAAAGAAAAAGGAAAAGGTGAAAGCTCGGCTAAGCCTCGCTCGCCCAGCTGCAGGGGCCGAGGGGGAGATCTCACGGTGGGTGGGAGCACGGGGAGGAGAGGCCTCAGCCCAGAGGCCAGGAGGTGAGGTAACTGCCGGGGAGGAGCAGGTAAGAACCACATACAGGCTGCCCCGTCCCATGGCCAGACCTCCCTGACCCACCCAGAGACACAGTGCAGGCCGCACTAATCCGCTAGATACTTCTTAACCCAGTGAAGCTGACTTATCAGGGTTAAAAGTTGCACAAGACTCTATCCTACTAGACCTCAATATTCACTATTTTATACTATGTTGCTCATCTTTCAATTCCAAGCAACTAGAACAGTATTTAAAAACTTTTTCCGTAATTAAAAAAGATGCATACCGGGGCTGGAGATTTAGCTCAGGGGCATACCATTTATGCCTTTAGCATCCAAGCATCCCTAAGTTAAGAGAAATGAATTTCAACAACAAAAAACTAGACTCAAGGAATCCTTCAACACATTTCTACTGGCTTGAACTACCAGTGGCGCATGCAGGACTGTCCCACTGGGTGACCTGTATCACCAATGGTACAAACAGATCTAACCACTTCTATCAATCTTTTTCTTAATGAAATTAATAAAATGCTGTCTGATGGGAGAGTCATGTATGCACCATCAATGGTTCAAGATGCCCAGCAGCAAGGCATGCAAATTACAGTCCCGTCATGAATATGTTAAAATGTTTCAACCAGACATGGAGGTACATGCCTGTAATGGCAGCTGAAACTCCAGAAGCTGAAACAGAAGTACGACAAGTCCAAGGCCAGTCTGGGACACCCGCAAATCCCAAGCAGTTTGGACTGCCGAGTGAGACCCGGAATTAATTAACAATAACCGCTATTATTATTCTTGAAAGGTTTTTAAAGTTGTGCAAGATGAGTCACCTATAAACCAAAAAATAAATCTGGATTTGTAGGTATTAGATCTGGCTGAAACAACACTAAGAAACATTTAAATACCACAACACTACTGAAATAGAATTAAATTTACTTCTTGTATCTTAAAATTAACAGACACAGAAACTTCTAAAGAGTCTATCAGGACAATGCTTGTTTGTTTTGCAAAATTTTGCTACACGAACGTAGAAAAAGAAACAGGCTCTGCAGAGTAAGCACGGACCAAGTAAAACCAGGAAAAGAAGTGCGCCCTACAGCGTGAGGGCGGACCATCCATGCAAAGCAGAGCATGGTGGCCTATCAGAATTCTGAATTTATATTTTGATTCCTACTCAACAAAATCAAGTTACATATGTATATCTAGTTTTTCATCTTGCTTCAATTCAGCTCTCAATCAAACACAATACTGTAGTAGTTTTAACAGATCACTGCAAAGAAAATACTTAAAATGTATTTTTTTAAGTTCAAAAACTAATTTGCACCTCAGTGGGAAGGATGGGGTTCAACCACTGGGGCCATCATCCCCCCCCCAATTTTTTTTTCAAGTGCCACTGTAAGCTGTATTATACCTACATATGTAAAAAAATTTTTTTCTACATATATAGGTCTATCACCTACATATGTTAAAAAGGAAAAGTAAGCTTATAGTTAGGCCTGGTGGCACATGCCTATAATAGCAGCACTCAGGAGGCTGAAGCAGGAGGAACGCCATGAGTTCAAGGCCAGCCTGGGCTACATGCTGAACTACATTGCAAGACCCCATCAGAAAGAAAGAATGGAGGAATGGACAGACGGCAGGAAGGGAGACTAAGTGATTCGGGATGTTTTTACTTTCAAACTCAGATACACAGGCCTTTTACTAGTTGATTCAAATATTTCTTCAACTTTTCGTTTCTTTGAAAGTGCTCAGGGCCCTGTGCCCTCTCTCGCCCCTGTGCCGGGTCTCCGACGGCAGCCCGCCCTCACGGCGGGGGGTGGGGTGGGGTGTCAAGAAAGGGGCGTGTAAACTTCCTGCACCAGACACTAAACTATGAACATATGTAAGTTTGAAATCCCTACCACAGGGTGCTAAAGACCTACTGCTTTACACCACCCGCACTGCGTGAGGCTCTTTCCCCAAGTTTCGGCTCTTGAGACAATCTCCCGTTCCAACAGGCCTCCCAGGACTACACGTCCGTCTTTCAAACCGAGTGTGACAGCAGACCACGCGTGGCACTTAGAGAAGATGACACTGCCGCTCACGTACTATGAACGCCTCTTTCCCCGACCTGTCAGCAAGCGCGCGGCACTGGGAATTCACACGCTGCCAGACTGCTGTGTACACGAGAGAGGTCAGATCAGACAACCCGCCCCGACGCAGCAACTGTCCGCTTCCCAGCCTGCACTTGAAGATGCGCGCGGACGACTGAAACGCGCCTTTCCAACTGAGCCGCCAAGCCAATTCAAAACCAGCATTCGCCCTGGCAAGAAACGCCAATGAAAGTACAAGGCCTTTTGGGCTTAACTGGCGGATACGCAGAGAGCAAAGGTGCCTTCTTTATCATGCCAAGTCCCCTGCGGATAGCTGCAAATTAGCTTTTATTACGCATACCCAACGCGCTTCTTTACAAAGAGCTCCTCCCCCAAATAATCTTCCCCACCCGGCAGCGCGAACTGTTACAGCCCGCACACCCGTAGTCCCTTGTAACTCAAAACGTTTGCTTTTAAGAACAGCGTCCACACACCAGCTCTGCTGCCAACTCCTTCAGCGAAAAGCTCAAGTTTGTATTACAAAACACGACGTTTACGCTCCACAACAGAACGCGCTCGTGTACCAATCTAAGGAGCCGCTCAGCCCGACAGGCCACTTCGCGCTCCCCGCGTCGCGGCTTTCTCTCACTCAGAATAACAAGCCTAAACAGCTGCACGCCGGCGAAGGCGCCGCGGCCAACGTCCACCGACGCACGACAGCTCTCTGCGACCAGCACGGAAGACTAGGTCTTCCAACTCCGTGACTGTTTTGCAAAATCGTGCACAAACACCAAGGGGGGCGGCGCGGGCTGAGCGGCGGGAATCTTCCAGCCCTGCGAGAAAATGCACCCACGCAGGCGCGCCCGCACGAGCGGCAGCTCGCGTTTGTGAACACAGGCTGAAGGTTACTTCTGAGTTCGCAGTCTACGCCGCGAAGGCGGCTTATCGGCTTCTCTACACCAGGAACTTGGCAGGAAAAGCGGGGACTTTTCCCGGTGATCAGGAACAGGTACCTCTCACGCAGAGACGAGGTTCTCCTTTCGCAGGTAATTCGCTTCCACGGCACGCGCACATCAACCACGCACGCTGCACTTCCGGTAGTCGGTACGCCCGAGCACCGCGCACCCAGCACCTGCGCGCGGGGCACGGCGGGCCCGGGCACCCGGCGGCCCCCGCGGGAG